ACTATGCTTTAATTATGTTCAATTTGTAACAATGAAAATACATCCTGCATGTCAGATATTTACATTACGATTCATAACAGTAGCAACATTACAGTTATGAAGTAGCAATGAAAATAATTTTATGGTTGGGGGTCACCACAACATGAGGAACTGTATTAAAAGGGCCAGAAGGTTGAGAACCACTGGCTTACAGAGAGTGAAGTGTGAGAGGATGTGGGGTGCGTGGCCTCTGTGAATTGCTGAACAGGTCTCGGGCCCCAGGCTCCCTTTTGTCACCTGGTTCTCTGGCAGCCCCGCCCCAGGGGCCTCCTGTCCACAGGGCCCACCTGAGGCTGAGTGGGATCTCAGGGGGCAGGCTGGCAGGACCCCCTCTCTGTCCCTCTGTGGCCACTGAAGGTCGGGGGGAGACTGGAGGGAGGACAGGGCTGCCGAAGACCATCCGGTGCTTACTGGCCCCTGAACTCACCCCTGCTGCCGGGAAGGGGAGCTCCCAGCGGCTGGGGTGCAGGAGGGGGTGCGGGGGGGGAGCCCTTCCCATTGGCTGACAGCAGAGCCAGGGCCTCACTATTCAGCTGGGAGGAGGCCCTTTCAGCCTTTGACGGTTGGCGCCTTCTCCTTGGGGTCCTCGCCTCAGGCTGGAGGAACAACCCCCGTAACCCCCAATGCCCTTTCCTTGTCAGTCCAGTCGCGGCCTTCTCTCTGCAGTGGCCCCATCCCCCACATCCCCATTCCCCGGGGAAGATGAGTCTAACCCAGACCTCCTCTGCTGCAGGGTGAAAAAGCCGGAGACGTACCTGGTGCCTAAAGATGGCAAGACCAACGCTGCCGCTGCCGGTGAGGGGGCCGGGGGCAGCCAGGGCAGGTCACCCTGCGGGGACTGTTGACATGATCAGGGAGCCGGGCTCAGGGTGCACAGGGAAAGAACAGCGAGAGCAGTTGTGGAGGGTGTTGGTGGCTACACTCTGGGATCTTTGGGGTTCACTGGATAGCGAAGGGAGCTCCTTGCAAATAAAGGTATCTCCCCGGCCCCCGCGGCTGCAGAGCCCAGCACAGATGCTGGGGGAGGTTGTGGCTGAATGAATGAACAGGATTGAGGGCAAAGGCGGCCTTCAGGGGTGACACAGCGTATCCTTTCCAGCTCTGGCTGCTAAAACAGTACCACAGGCCGGCAGCTTGCATTTATTTCTCACAGTTCTGGAGCCTGGACGTCTGAGGTCAAGGTGTGAGGGTTGGTTTCTGCTGAGGCCTCTCTCCTGGGCTTGTAGACGGCTGCCTCCTTGCCGTGTCCTCACATGGCCTTTCCTTTGTGCACATACATCCCTGGCGTCTCTTCCTCTTTTTATAAGGACACCAGTCCTATTGGGTCAGGCCCCGCCTTGATGACCTCATTTAACCTTAATCACCTCCTTAAAGGCTATATCTCCATCCTCATTTAACCTTAATCACCTCCTTAAAGGCTCTATCTCCAAATACAGTGGGGCCTTGATTTACGAATGTCCAGACTAACCGGACATTTTCGATACCAGCTGTCTCTCGGCCGATATTTTGCATTGAGTTGATAGAGTAATTTGAGTTAATGAGCTCCTTAATGAGCTCGGTCTCGGAACGAATTAAACTCGTAAGTCAAGGCCCCACTGTATTTCACTCCTCCCTGGAGAAAACGCTGAACTGATAAAAATCATATCTACTGGGGGAGGGAAAATGGCGGAGGGATAAAGGGACGTGTCCTGTGCCTTCTCCTGGAGCAGATAAGGGGGAGCAGCTGAAACGGGAAA